CGCTCTTCTGGTTCCCGCTTGGGGGTACCTTCTTCCACTAGCATGTTTTTGTTGGTTCTCTCTAACAGCTCGGTCAAGTCTAAGGGTTCATTGATGGTGAGGTTGTAGGAAAACTTCTCGAACCTCAAGTCTTGCATAAATGCTGCTACGACCAAGTCAAATTTAAGGTTTTTCACCTCCAACATTTTCTTGTGGAAGCATGCAATAAAAGCCCACAGGCTCTCGTGCTGACACTACTTGAGTTTACATAAGGACTGAAAGCTCTTTGTGGGCTTCCGAGCACTGAAGAACCGCGTTAAGAAAAAACTCTTGAAATCAACTAAGTTGCTGATGCTCCTGGTCGAAAATGAATGGAACCACTTCAAGGTTGATGAGCTTAAGGTGGTGAAAAACAGACAACACTTGAATGCATTTGAGATTTTTAACAAGCACACCGACTCAAATGCAACGATATGTTCGATGGGTCTGATCATCCCCTATAAGCCTCAATGGATGACATTTTGAATTTTTATATGGGCTCCGTTTCAGATACTTGGAAGAAGAAAAGATTCTCTAGCTGATGCATCACCTCAGTGCAACGAATTTTGCACTATTTTGATACTGCAAGTCGCCGACCCCCTCAGGATCGTTGTTCACCCTCCTGCCATTGTGCCCCGACGCCACCTCGTGTGCTGGTTATGTTTTTTTGGGGCCCAATTTTCTGCTAGGGCTGTGACAACCCTCAGGAATTTGGCGGTCTGGCTCGACACCTACTCCATGATCTAAGTTCTCATCTTCTGCATTCCTTTTTTGCATGTCTTCCACGATGTCGTCCCGTGGGGGATCTACATTAGATGCTGCTCTTTGGTCACTCCCTCTCTATGATCGCTGCTCCTCTTCTTGTTGATAACATGACTCCAAGTTCACCACACCTTTTAAGATGTTGAATCCAAATATATTCGGGAGACACGCCTAAGAAATAGAGCACTGACAGATGACATAGAGAGAGAGAAGAGCAAGCAATAACACAATAATGAACCGTAAATTTGCACAATCTTTATTCATGACATGAGCCCCTTATTTATAGGAAAGGTTTATTGTACAATTACACATTGTACCCCTAAAGTACGTAGACACGGCGGGGGTATTTTAGTCTGTATATAAATATGACCCATGGAATAGCCTGGTGGCCATGACGTTGGGCTTTCGTTAGGCCGGGCGATCATCAAGGAGGACGGCTGTGAGATCGGTGACCATCAAGTCGGGCGACTGCCAGGCCAGACGATTATTTGCTAAGGATCAATCATTCTGGAACCAATGGATGCACTCCATCTTCTCTGTCTTTCTAGGTTGGAAGGTGTCAGGTTCATCTGAGTATATCTGGTCAGATGGGTTCTTCAGGGTGATCTACCCTTTATCCGTTTGAGACGTACTGTCCTTCTGGTACGTGGGGGGCTGGCCGTATGAGCGTGTCGTCTTGGGTTATTCTTGATAGGTTCCGCGGGGCCACATCACCTCTTCCTCCATCTGTGAAATATCTTTGAGATTTGTGTTGACACATTTTCGATATATAGTTAGCATCCTTATGCCCACTTTAATCCAATAAATTACACAATAAATAAATAAATAAATAAAAATAATATATATATATATATATATATATATATATATATACAAAAATCATCCCTATACTCT